TGCTAGTTTCACTCTGGGATATTTCATATAGGTTGAGGGACAAAAGGATTTTTTTTTCATGAATATTCTGTTTTAAAGCTTTTGCAAATTTTTTTGTTTTTGCTCAACACTGCTGCTACAATATTACAGAACTATTCATATTAAAACATAAATATGTCTGGCTGCTGGTAACTTGTGCATTAAGCTTAAAGAAACAGTTCACCCAAAAATGACATTTTGCTGAAAACTCACCCTCAGGCCATCTAAGTTGTAGATGAGTTTGTTTCTTCATCAGAACTGATTTGAAGAAATGTATCATTACAGCTGGCTCACCACTGGATCCTCTGGAGTGAATGGGTGCCGTCAGAATGAGAGTCCAAACAGCTGATAAAAACATCACAGTAATCCACAAGTTATCCACACGGCTCCAGGCCATCAATTAATATCTTGTAAAGCAAAAAGCTGTGTCTATAATACTGTTTTCTGAATCAGGAGAAAAATATGCACAGATCAAGTTTCTAAGATTGTGAAAACAGTCCAAAACTGTTCTATTTGATGGAGTTCTTTCTTACAAACATGCAGCTTTTCAAGACGTTAATTAATGGACTGGAGTCGTGTGGATTATTGTGATGTTTTTATCAGTTGTTTGAACTCTCATTCTGACGGCACCCATTCACTGCAGAGGATCCACTGGATTCAAGTGATGTAATGATACATTTCTTGAAATCAATTTCAATGGAGAAACAAACTTGTCTACATCTTGGATGGCTTTAGGGTGAGTATATTTTCAGCCAACTATTTCTTTAAGCTTTACATAAGCATCAACAATAAAAAAAAAAGACCTTTGCTTAAGAAAATATGACTGTAGTGATGTATGGAACAGAATTATTTAGTGTCTTCTTAGTGTTCTCATTCCCTGGCAAATTCTTTCTTTAAAAAAGGACCTATTAAGCAGACTCTGCCAGAGTAACAGAAATAATGACAAACATTTTGTCTAATGTTGAGATGTGTTTAGACTTTTCATTGTTTTGTTGTGATATTTAAGATGGGGGAAATGTAAGCACATGCGGATCCAAATAAATTTGGCCATCTAGACCTTTACACAGAACTGTGAATATTTGGGTTCCCAGCAGTTGAGGCCTCATAATGGCAAAACAGCTGAATACTTTCCATTTCTTTAAAATTACCTTTGAATATGAGTTCAGATCTCTGACTCAGTAGCTCATAGAGGGACGGTTACATTGATAATTTAAGTTCAGACTATGCAATCACTGCCCAAGACCTCTTTCATCCTGTTATAATATACCTTTGTAAATACCAAAATTGTTAAATTCATGTTGGGCAATGAATTATTAGTGTACATTGTCAGTAAAACCTCAAAATAACACAGTTATACTTTCACTAACAACTTTAAACCAACATGGAAAAGGTGACTAATAGAAATAGTATTTGTTATTATGTACAATGTATTTATCTTTGTTTATAGGCTGCAGACATGTTGATGTCAGTCTATGCGTGTTAATTTAGCACCATCTGCTGGAGCTTCTTCTTAAACTCAACAAGAATTATTTTAGAAAAAACTGTTTATCCCATCCACTCCAATCCAAAGAAATAACAGGTTTTATAATGTTTTTGTGACTTGTTAAAACAATGCAATTATAGTGATACTTTTAGTAGCATTACTTATTATTGCCCATAACTACTCATACAACATTACATATATAAGAAAGTGAGGAAATAAATCTATTAATGCTCAGTTATGAATACATTCACGGTGCCTTCCCCGTGAAAACTATTTTAATTATGAACTTATTTGAAGGATAAAAAAATATTTAGTTGTTAAACTTATTTTTTATTTGTAAACAAATTATAGCTTCTACTGTATTTGTTGAACTCAACCATGCTCATCAATGCAAAATTTTTAGACTGAAAAAAATATTATGCAAAACATTTTTTCTTTAATTTATAGGAAATATAGGCCTATGTTAATCAACTATGACAAAGCAATATTTGGTCCCAAGCTTTGCAGGCTAAATCTGCAATGCTATTACTTGAAACATTATATTTTTGCTTTTATGTCTTTTGAATTTTGTGTTAATTTTTTGTGATATTTTTAAACTTAATTTTGTTCATATTTTGAATTAGATTTTTTTTATATACGTTTTCATGTTTTCACTTTAATTTTAGTTGTCATTTTTATTAGTTTTATAAAATGTCTATATAGTTTTTGTTCATTTGTGTTTATTAATATTAATTAATTTATTATTTATTTTAGTACATTAAGTTAAACCAAACAAAAATGAAAAATGTTGCCTTGGCGACTAGATGAAATAAAATATGTTTATATTTTTTAAGTTTTTAGATTTAGTTTCAGTAACCATGATTCAGGCATGTTTTAAATTTTAGTAACAGGGTTGCAAACCTCATATAAACTGAATTGAAAATTAAACCGTTCATATAACATTTGATCACCTGTTCCTGCAAAGTCCCAAAACATAAGGCCGTAGAATTATAAATGCATTTCTGAAATGATATGCTCATCATCATATCTAACAAAGAGGTCATATGAATCATTACCAACTATAAAAGATAGTATAAGTGAAGTTTTATTTGGAATTTTACATTTATGAATACACACACACACACACACACACACACACACACAAAACTACCATAGCGTAGTAAGGCTTGGAAAAAAGAGCTTCAAGGTGAGACGTGCAAAGTAAAGCGCGCAACTGCAGCGTTCTGCCACTAGAGTTCTCCCACAGCCTGTGTCTGTGTGTGTGTGTGTGTTTACTCCCTCCGAGCTCTCAAATGTGCCCGGGCTCCTCCAACCAACCACAATTCTGACATTTAACTCCGGAAACACAAATGTAACCAGCTCTGCGTTACATCCTAAAGTGAGACTGAACGGCGAGGCGTTTGATCAGCTGTCGGACAGCGGTAAGTTAGCGCATAAACCGGGTCGATTTCATGACATTCGCAGCAAAGAAGAACAAAAAATCCTCTCCCAACTGGTTGGTTTTGTCTAGAAGCGAGGGAGGGATATCAACATGGCGTCCATGTAGCTCACCAACCAACAAGAATGTCTAGGCACCGATGAAGGTTTTTCCCTCCATTTGCAATTTGATTGGGTTATTAATCGTGATTCTTTACGGTGTGATTACATTTAGCGCGTGTCAAACAGCTCGCGCGTTTACGATGTCCTCGTGTTTATAGTTTTGCGACTCTTAGACACCCGTTTGTTGTTTCTTTCAGGCACTGTGACCGAAATGCGGGACCTGCGCTGGGTTTTATTGATCACTGATAAGACAGACAGCTGTCAAATTCATCGTGGCTTTTGAAATGGCGTTATTTCGATCGCTTCGTTAGTATAATCGGCTTTTAAATGCTTTTACGCTGTGCATTCCAGCACTCGGGTTGTGGATCACATGAGCTGTTGTGGGTTCTATAGCCATCTGCGGGTGTTTTAAAAATCACTGGCAACATTTTGTACACTGTAACAGTGTGAACAAAAGTTATGATTGTCACAAAAACTTGTAACGTTGCTGTAGTAACATTCGATCAGGAAGCGTTCGGTTCCCATCCTTTCTGCGCATGTATTGCGCAATAAAGCGAACAGGTCTTGCTGGTGACTAAAAACCGCACTCAGTGAATTATTATGCTAACAGTATTGCTAATAGTATTTAAATGATGTAAATACACATGTGGTGAATAGTCTAGATATGTCAAGGCTTCCACAAAAGCTGCTTTATTCTACATGGAGTGGGTCGCCACTGCATGGGTGCTGCCATGTTAACGTCACTTGAGCAGCCATGCAACTGACCAAGTTGCCAGTAATTATAATAATGTTTTACGGCATATCGCTTTCAGCCAAGGTGCTTTAAAAGTGTAATAACAGACAGGTTTGTTGTAAACCAACAGTATTTAGTATTCAAACTTAATGCATCCAGGACAATAGGAGTCAGTATGACTCCTAAACAAAAAAGTGCATTATTAAATTTGCTGTAAAATGCAAATGACTTAAAATAGTTTCCTTATTATCCCCTCATGAATAATACTATAGTGTTACATAATTCTATATCATTTTACTTGTGTTCTTTCCACATATTGAGTTATGTGTATTGAAATGAAAACATTTATCAACTAAGGCTTTATTTACATCATGTAAATATAGGTGGTTAGATTAATGACTTTTACCTTGAAAACTATTATTTATGTAAATTAATTAATGAGTGTCTTGTTCATATTCTTGGGAACTCATTAGAATGCACTTTTATTGATAAATTGCAGCCTACAAAAGGAGTTTCAGCTCTTCATCCTTTGTATAAAAAAACACCCATCTGGCTGTTGATTGTAGAAGCTATAACTTACAGTATGCACAACAGCAATAAATGTGACAGTCATTTTTATCTGTTCTTCATGCCACATAGAGACCTAAAATACTGCAGACAGTCTGCAGACTGAATACTGCTAAAGGGTTTTTAATTATAAAACTGGATTTGCTTTCTACGTGTCATTTTGACTCTGTAAATCTCTGCTATTCTGTAAAGATAGTGAGAGGAACTTGTTGTCTTCAGTATCTTTTGACATCAACACAACAGTTCTGAAGAGTTTTATAAGAGAGCTTAATGTTTAACCTGGTTAGTGCTTTTATATGAAAGAATTTCCGCCCTAGGTTTACATGTGGTTATAGTTGCAGGAGCTCTTTATAAAGAAAACAGAGAGTTTAGAGTCCATTTAAATAGAGACTTAATGAAGTTATGTTATACTTTGGTGCCTTTTTCCGTGAAAATCTATTGTTTGTCCACAATGACAAAGATACACAAGGAGAGGCACTCTTTAGAGAAATGGTGTGTAATTTGATGCTGTCTCTGACAAAACTAACAAATATTTGCATTTTGCTGTTTTATATGCAAGCACCTAAGCTCTTCAGACTGTGCTTTGCTTATTGTGGGAAGCATGCGTTTTTGTTCAAGGGCTTGTTCTGGTTTAATTATTCTAGGTTGGAACTGGCCACAATGTCGAGGGTGGTGAAAAAGAGGCAAGCGGACCCCAAAGTGGTTCAGTATGTCTGGTCGGCCATCGAAGTCATCCGCAATCAGAAACAAATCGCAAACATGGACAGAATCTCAAAGTAATTGCTTTAATTCTGTCTTTACTAATATTATCAATGTATGCATTTAAATCCATGTCTAAGAGAAGACCTTGCGTGGTTTGGTGCAGATATTTAAGTCGTGTGTATGGGATGCACCCTAAAGACACGGCCAGGCAGCTAGTGTTGGCTGTCAAAGACGGTCTGGTGGTGGAGACGCTCACAGTGGGCTGCAAAGGCTCCAAGGCCGGGATCGAACAGGAGGGATACTGGCTTCCAGGAGACGAGATGGTGAGACATACACCAGAGCATGTCTATTTTAAACATAACATACTTTTATCTACATGCTTCCCAGATAAAAATGCTAAAGGTAAACATGGCTTGGTTTTACTACACATTAATCAACTAAAATAAAGGGCTCAAAATTTAGATATGCTGCTGGCTACAACACAGCCATGCACTTCTTAAGACCATCAGTAAGACATTTGATTGGTTCCTCAGCAACAAAAAAAAAATTTGGTTGATAAAGTTCATGACTTCGATGCTCAACAGTGAGATTTCAGCTGTAAACTTCCTCCGTATGCACTTGTGACGGTAGATGCTGATGTTTCTGTGACTTCACCAGCACATAGAGACATTCCTCTGCTGTGTGAGAGAGCATGTTTGAAGGAAGCACTGTTTGTTTTTGGGGTATGGCTTATAGCTGGGAATATACACATCTGTCCCAGGTTTCATCAGCTATATGTGTGGCCCTCATAAAAAAAAAAAAATTTGCTTATTTGTGTGAAAGACCTTAAAGTGTGACAAACATGCAAAAAAATAAGAAATCAGGAAGGGGGCCAACACTTTTTCACACCACTGTACACTCCTATTCAAAAGTGTGGAGTCAGTTTAAAAGAAATAAATTTGAATACATTTAATCAAGTAAAGACTTTACATTGTTACATTTTCTTATTTCAAAGACATATGGTTCTTTTGAACTTTCTATTCATTCAAGTATCCTGAAAAAAAAGTCTCCACAAAAATATCAAGCAGCAAAACTGTTTTCAACATTGATGATCATAAGAAATGAGCAGCAAATTAGCATATTAGAATGATTTCTGAAGGATCATGTGACACTGAAGACTGGAGTAATGGCTGCCATCACAGGAATTAATTACATTTTAAAATATATTCAAGTAAAAAAAAAGTTATTTTAAATTGTAATAATATTTCACAATATTACTGTATTTTTGATCACATAAATGCAGCCTTGGTGAGCATAAGAGACTTATTTCAAAAACAAAAAGCCCAAAGTTTTGAACAATAGTGAATGTAAAAGCATATTTATGAATATGATTATTAGATGAATGTTTATGTTGTTGTGTGCTGCATTCTGGTATTTCTCACACCAAACACCCACCCGCGAGTCCCTAACACGGAGCGCCTGTGGTTAGTTTCAGCCAACCCCAGCTCTTAGATTAGGATTTTAAACAATGTTTTTTGGATCACTTGCAATCGCAGGAGCAGATGTCAGAGGGAAGCAAGGTATGTTCACGTCCAGTTGCTGTAATTTCTTTAATTAACAACATAATCTGCCCTTTAGTTAATAGTATGTGTAACCTGTGCACGGGACAGCAGCTGAATTGAAGGAGCTTCTGTGTAGCCTCAGACTTCAAATTTTCCATGAAATTGAAATTAATAATGCATGCTCTATTTAACTGTCAATCAAAATATGATGATCATACACACTATTTATACTGGTATCTGCGGCTATGCTGGCATCAAAAAGCTTCGTTTTACTTTAGTGCTGTGCTGTGTGAGGTTTTGTGCGCCTTGTTTTGTCACTGAATGCTCATTATTGGTGATTTCTCTCTTCTTTAGCCCTCTCTGCCTTCTGAAGCTCTTTTCCAAGATGTGCGTATGCTTCACACACATTAATCTTACATGTTATCAAATCAAGATTTTATTTTTTGCAAGATTTGTATGTCAATGTCAAGACCAGTTCAATGTCAGAACCAGTTAGACCTGTGTTTGCCAAGTTAACAAACTGTTTACTAGGGCTAAGACCAGTGTCAGCAGTTAACTTTTAATATTTGCACATTCAGAGCTGATTTCTGCATTTTTATATTTATATGGGCATGTTCTGTATATGCATAAGGTATTTAATTTATTAACAGAAATTCTTGATCTGAATAATTAGGAATCTATATTTGTGAATTATTTACTTCAAATCTTTTTATTGGTATTTTGTGTGACAATACAGATTGAAATAATGATAACAAGGTGATATTTGTGAATTATTAAGAAAATCTAGGATATTTAAAATGAATTTTGTCACTATATTAGCAGTTTTGCTTCAAACCCCTGGTAACTTCTTACACTGGTTTAGACCCATTTTAAAGGTAAGAATAAAAACTGTTTCCAGACAGTAGCATCATTTTCTGAAGTAAAACTTTGGTTAAAGAATGCAGATTTTGTACTGTATCCAGAAAAGTGAATATGGTGGGATGTCTCTGGTGTGTGTGCAGTAGATTGATGATATTTTTAGAGGATAGCATTAACATACGGCGAATGTGATCGTGGCATGTGAGAATGTGATTGCTCACCATTTCTTTCAAAGAACATTTAGTCATGTTTAAGGTTTGATTTAGATGGCCATTTGATTATAATATATGGTGGTATTTTCTTTGCTTTCATAGTATCTGAAAGTGTTAAACAGACTTTACCCAGGTTTGAACTACTTTCAGTGTAAAGCATGTATTGTTAATAAGCATTTCATTTGAATTATAAAAACATCCGAGTCATAAAAAATGGTCATGTAAATTGAACCAAAATGCAAAAATTTAACATTCTTATGTACACCTATGATCTTTTGATTAACGTTTGTTTCATTATTATAACTAATGAGTGGGTTTTATATTTTTGCTTTCTTGGTGGTGTGGAAAAACTGCTAATTATAGAAGAGCAGCCCTCATACTCTGTTTTCTCTTCAAATGTTGATTAAAATAATTAGAATTTTAAATAAATTGGATAGAATATATTGAAAAATATAATAAAACCAAATTGACATTTTGCATGTTGGTGGTGCTTTTACTTCTGCTATATATTGGTAGTCTCTCAGGGCACTGGTCACCAATTATAAAAACATTTC